GGAGACCCTGCAGAACAAGGCAACGTTTGGAGGTGCTGGGAGCAGGAGAACTGGTATTTATTGAGATACAGAGCTAGATTCTTCACATGTTATTATATTTATTTCACTGCGTGGGGTAGAAATGATAATTGTCATTTAAGAGAAAAGGCCAAATAACTTGCCCACGATCACCCCACTAAGTGGCAGTGGAACTGAGCTTTTATTCTATTCTGATTTCAAAGCTTTTGTTTCCTTTCCACTGAAAGGATGATGAGGGTTCTGTTATGCCAGAGGCAATGCTATGGAGACATCCTCCTTCCACTCAGAAGACTCCTAATTTAGTTGCACCTCATTTGGAAGCTTCTCCATCCACTTCATCATTCTAATTGCTTTAATATGACAAATTGACCAATTACTAGCATGTTATTTATAACTATAGTGGAATTAGTTGCTTGGTTCAATCAAGCAACCAAAAAGTAACTGATTTGTAATGACTCAATTTATCAAAGTGTTCGGAATGGTTGGCGTGCGTAGACATAACCTACATCAGCATTAGACAAATGCGTGCAATGGAATACGAAGGGGATATCTGAGTATTAGCAGATGACATCTGAACTGGAAGGATTCTAACCCTGGCTCTACCTGTGACCCAGTAGACAAGAAATAACTTGGAGTGCTAAAAGATGTTCTGGAAAACCTTTTGTTTTGCTGATAAAGAAATGGAAGCTCAGGAAGCATAAAGGGGTTGCCAAGATCTCCTAGCCAGAAAGCAACAGAGCTGAGACTTGAACCATCTGTATTGTCCTGCTGCCAGGTCCTAGAGAACTTTTCCCACCATGCCTGCTGCACTGTGACATTGAGCGAGTCTTTCAGCCCCTCAACGCCTCCTTTGCTTTGTCTGTAACATGAGAGGATCGGTAGATGTATCAGTTAGCTTTCACTATAGAAGAAACCACCTCAAACTTAGTAGCTTAAAACAATAATCATTTAATGTAGCTTGTGATTGTATAGTTTGTCCTGGTGGTTGTTCTGGTCAGAACTGGGTCAGCAGATCTCTCTCATGCTTCTGTGGTCGATCAGCTGGTGGGTCTAGCCCAGCCAAATACAGCTTCATTACTAGTTCTGGTGGTGGATAGACCAGTGCCTGGGGATTGGCTGTTCATCAGCCAGGGCACTTCCACTCTCCCCCACAAGGCTATTCCCCCACTTTGTCCTCTGGCAGGCTTGGATACCTGGTGGTTTCAGGGTTTCGAGTATAGAAAGGGTGGGTAAACCCCAGTGAGCATACTCTTTGGAAATCTTCACCATGCCATGTTTGCTAGTCTCCCGTGGCTAAAGTGAATTACATGGTGTGGTAGGCGGTTTCAGAAATGGCTCCCAAAAATTCCTACCTCCAGATATTATGCCCTTGTGTAATCGCCTCCTGTTGTGTGAGAGCTGGACCTACTGACTTGTTTCTAATGAATAGAATATGCCAGAGATGATGGGGTATCACTTCTGGTATTGGGTTATAAAAGACTGATACTCAGTGACTCTCTCCTTGTGCCCGCCCTAGTAAAGCAAGCTGCCACCTGTGGATTGCCCTATGGAGAGGCCCATGGGCGAGGGAACTGAGAGTGCCCTCCAGCCAACAACCAGGGAGCAAGCAAGACACTCAGCCTAACAGTTCCCTGAGGACTGAACCTTCTGTTCTCTCAGAACGCAAAATCCTGTCAGTGAGTGAGCTTGGAAGCAGACCCTTCCCCAGTTGAAACTTTGGATAGGAACACAAGCTCGGTGCATACCTTCATTGTGGCCTTGTGAGAGACTTCGAAGCAGAAGACAGCTGAGCTGTGCCTCGGGTTTCTGACCCTCAGCTAACTCAGAGTCAGTGTGGGACGGGGAGATGTAAAGGTGTGGTTATAGGAAGGGTAATTACAGAAATTATTCACCTATACTTGCAAACAACTTACTACAAATAAACTTTTTCCCGGCCTTTGGATGTTTTAGGTGGAGTGATCTTCACTACTTCAACAATTATTTATATTCTCTGTGCTTAGTACTGGGAACAGGTGATAAATAAGAGAGAGTCCATGTTCTTGCCTGCAAAGAGCTTACAGTTTGTGGAAGGGGAAGGGCAATGGGGAAAGACATCAGTTCAATAATTCCTTCTTTAATAATTCATTTTAAATTGTAAGTGGTATATAACGGCCTGGGTTATTCAGAGAAAGCTTCTTTGAGGAAGTGGGACAGAAGCTGAGGAGGTCAGCAGGAGAGAAAGATAGGGGAAAGGGGAAAATTCCGGACAGGAGTGGTGTTCTTAATGGGGAGCTGGAGAGGTAGTGAGCAGCTATGGCAGAAGTTCATATTTATGATCAAATTGTATTCTATCGCATGATGATGGCATTGTGGGCTCTGTTTTTAGAAGTTTCTTTAGAGATAAATGTTAAAATATTTATGGATAAAATTATGTGACATATGAGATTTGTTTCAAAAATAAGCTAAAAATGAAATGAGATTTTCCAAATGAGTTAATGTTTATTGAAACCAGGTGATGAGTACATGGGTGTTCATTATACTAGTCTCTCTAAATGTTATATGTGTTTCATTTTCTATAATAAAATTTTAAAAACTTGTATCCTCACTACACCTCCTGAAGGCTGCGTGTGTATATGTTTGAGATCATAACACATTTACCTCCTCCTGCTGCACTGCAGACAGTTCAGGTTAACAACACCTTTTGGGCAAGGGGATGGAATAAGTTTTTTGTTACAGCAGATGTAACGGCCTCTCAGCTTCAAATCACGTGGCTAACATAACAAAGGGCATTTGGGTAACTTCCCTGGCCTACTGGCTAAGATGCTGTATCACATTATTTTTCATGATCGTTTTTCACTAGATGAGATGGTATGGTTTCATACATAGTAGAATCTTATGACATGGTTCACCCTAGAGTAAAAGCCAGTGGAAAGATCCTGTTCAAATAATGGTTACTGAAATACTGAAAGAATTATGTTATAAGGCCTTAGATAATATGAACAGTGTTAGAGTGTGTTTATAGGTTGGGGAAAGAGAAAATAGGGTAGAAGAGATGGGAATCTGTCTTTGAAGAATTCTGGGTTGGCTTGCTACAGTAATAATCTATAATGGATTTCTTCTTTTTTTTCTTTTTGGTCTTTTGTGACTGACTTTTTTTGTATTATGGATTTACTTGATTAAGTTTTCCTTTTTCTCATTTTGAGGTGGGTCAGTCTGTGAATTAAACAGCAGGGATGGATAGATTTTATGAACCAGGGACAAGACCTTAGGATTTGGACACCTGGGGCTGATGCTGCAGAGATAGTTTCATGATTGTAACTGTTTCAATGTTAGGCTATTGGGGGAACCATATTTTGAGATTTTGATTCAGATTTTTCTTGAAAATACCTTTGCCACCAAATCGAGTGTTTCCCCAACCACTAATAAAGACTTCCTAAAATCAGATATATGCAAATTACTAACTACATTTCCCTTCTTAAGCAAAGGTTAAATAAAAGGGAAAATTATGAGAGATTGTTTATAGAAGCAGGGATTTTCAGTGCTTAGTGAATCTGGTTATTTCAAAACCATGAGTCTCCTTGTCAGTGCAAAGCAGGAAAGGAATAAAGTAATAAAAGAAAGCGAACCTAGACATAAACATGTCCTCATACAGACAGCATTTGTGTTAAAAAGCTTTGTTGTTGTTCCCTGAACCTTGGCAATTATAGGCACTTTCCTCTGCTTTGAAAAACATTTGGCAAATCAGCAGAGGAGGTCCCCTCGTTTTTCAGAGTTCATGCTGAGCTTGGCCTGGTTGCAGGGAAACACTAATTCCCAACTGTGCTGCCTGGGAGCAAATGGTTTGTTTTCTCTTCACTGAATCCAGCCCAGGGTGGGTTTTTACAGTCCAGACTGCCATGGAAAATCTATTTGGAGCAACTTGTCCCCAGAAGGGAAGAAGGCAAGCTGATCCTGTGGAGGGGGCTGTAGCCACCGCCCAGCCAGTCACGCCTGTGGGCCAGGGCAGGTGTTAACATGCAACAGTGGACATACGGAACCCAAGGCAAACATGAATCCTGTTTGTGTGCTTACACCCACATGTACCACACACACAAAACTCCACCTAGTTTACTAGGCACACACTCGACTTGCCAGGCACAGGCACCACATGGCCATGCATACACACACTCTACATACCAACCATATCCACCCACACACCATGTATACACAAATACACACATACGAAACTTGTACACATACTACACGCACCACATACACTCTACTACACACCACCCACACTCTATATTGGTCATATATGTCTGTGCCACAAACATATATACACACAGCCCATCACAAGCACTCCATATAACAGTCACACGTATCACACACACACCACTCACATACCATGTATACATTTAACAGCCTATCCAACTACACGCACACCCACCACACATACTCCACGTAAAAACCATACCACATACACCAAACTACATACACACACAACACATATTATATCCAGTCCCGTGCACCACATATGCAACACACACACACACACACACACACACACACTGCACAGCGTCCCACCCTGCAGTGTGGTTATTTTCCCGCTCAGCAAGGCCTGCACTACAGCTCCGGCGGTCCCAGCAGGCGGGTGCGGGAAGAGATAGCTTATTGCAGGCCAGTGCCAGGAGCGGGTGCGGGGTTGGGGTTTCCCGAGTGGGGGCGGGGGCTGGCGGCTTTGGCCCCTGACTTGGGCCAGAAGGGGTGCACTCGGGACAGGAGGCAGGTCCTCGGGGAGTGCGCGCGTGTGGAAACGTGCGCACGCCTCTGAGGGCTTCTGTGCCCAGACACCCTGGGAGGTGTGTACGAGGGAAATGTGAGGCGCGTGTAGGGAAAAGCTGTGCGTGTGTGTGTGTGGGGGGGCGGCTGGGGTGGGGCGGAGGCTGAGAGGGCTGGGTGGGCGTGTCCTCGATGCGCCCAGCCCTCCGTGGAGTGTGGGTGTGTGGAGTGCGGGTGTGAGTCCTCGAGCTGACCCAGCTCCAAGGGAAGTGTGCGTGTGGAAACCAAGCAGCCGAGGCATGTGAATAGTCATAACGGCTCTCCATCGGTTGGGGTCAGCTTCTGAGAAATGACTGAGTGTGTGGCAGGGATTCACTGAGACTGAAGGATACACCTACGATCGTGGTCCCGGCGTGGTGTGTGTGTGTGTGTGTGAAGAGGCCCGGGCAGCGGAGGAACGCGAGTGGCCTGCCCCGCTGGTTGGCGCGCGCGCGCGTGTGCGCGTGCGCGTGGAGAGCGGCGCGCGCGGCGTCGACGGAGGGAGGGGAGAGGTGGCGGCAGGCCCAGCCCCCGGTCGCTGAGCCCGGGGCGGCTCCTCCGCTAGCCTGGGACCGCTGCACTCCTGCGGCTGCCGCACGCTGCTGTTACTCCCGGCCTGCGCCGCGCCCGCCAGCGCCCGCAGCCGACTGGGTTCCCTGTCCGCCCAGACGCCGCTTCTCGGGGCTCTCGTTCTCGGCTCCGCGGAGGGAGAGGAGATGAGTGCGGCGGAGGCGCCAGCGGCGGAGCGGGGTTGGAAGAGTGAGAAAGTGGACGAGGCTCAGGCCCTGGCGCGGAGTTGCGCTGCCCGCAGACCCGACTTTCAGCCGTGCGACGGGCTCTCCATCTGTGCCACGCATAGCCATGGCAAGTGCTTCAAGCTGCACTGGTGCTGCCACCTAGGATGGTGTCACTGTAAGTCGAGCCGCGTCTTCCCGCCTTGCGCTGCTGCGGTCCTGGGTGCACGCTGGGCCGTCTGGGGTCACGGTTGGGACTGAGGCCGTGGGGGCTGTGGGCCTGGCCCGGGCCGCTTTGCTGTAGGCTGGGGCGCCCTGGGCTCCGGCCGGGCGGCAGCTGCCCTCGCGCCGGTCGGCTCCGGTTGGCGCTGCCTTGGCAACGAGATGAAATTCCCGTGGGGAGCCTAGCTTTAGCCCCTTCTACAAAAGGGGATCTCCCCGTCCCAGGAAAACTGGGAGCTATTTTTTTCTTTTTGTTCTTAAACCGAAACTACCAAGCAGTGTGTTGAGAGATGGTTGGGAGACATCGGAGTTGATGACAACTCAATGGAAAGCCTTTCCTAAAGACTGGTGGTTAAAGATGCCCCTTTTTCTTTCTCACTTTTATCTTTTCGGGCAGCTATTTAAAGAAAAGAGCTTTTGGAAATCGAATTGTGGCTCATTTATTGCATCCAGTTGAGAAAGTGCTAAAGTGGAGAAACTGCTTCCAAGAAGTTAATATTAACAGTTTGGAAGGATGAAAACTCTTTAAATATCCAGCTGCAGCATATAGAGCCAATGTATGAGACTTTTAAAATTACAAAGTAAAATGAATGAGAGGAAGCTTAAATAATCTTACTAATTTATAAAAGCCAGAGCTAAATGGTGTAGGCCTTTTCTCTATGTTTATACTGCATGGGGTTTTGAAAATGGATTAAACTTAAGTAGTCTTTTAGTCGGAATTTCACAACTTGATTAGTTCGTGGTATTTGGCCTGCTGTATCATTTATTAGAAATACACTGCAAACTTAGTTTCCGCATACCCTTATAAATAGAGGGTTTTGGAATGCTTATTATTTAGACACAAATTCTCGAAGTGATCTTAAGTTAAAATATTTTGCTTGTTGGTGAGAAAAAAAATGGCTCCCAAGAAGAGATGCAGTAGATAACAAATCCTTATTTACATTAGTTGAACATAATAGAATATTTTAAAATAAGTTTATACTTAAAGGGTGATACTTCTTACATTTATTTTATAGTACTAAATTCTTTTTTACATTTGTTTACAATTATTGAACGGATTGATTTTTTTTGTGTTCTTTGTGCTGATGAGTCAGTTTCTTCCTATATCTTATTATTCCCTTTGCTGTCAGATCCATTCCCAATTATAAAGCATTATTTTAGTGTTGCACAGGGCACAAAACTGGAAGAAGCAACTGTAGGAAACCTATGATGCTGAAGTACACAAGTAGGGTGAATCTGATGAGAGCCCATTTCCCTGGGCTTCCTGGGGAGCCCATTTCCCCCTACTTTCCTGGGGAAAAGTAGAATCATAGTGTAGAAGAATGTCAGGAACGTTAAAGATGGTTTGGCTCATTGCCTGTCTTACTTCAGCAGCCTCCCTTCTAAATACACCATTAGTGATTAGAACCTTGCATTCTCGTCAGGCAGCTTCTTCCTTCATTAGAGAGCTTTGACTAGAATATTATTACTCTTCCTTATTTGGAGCTGAAGTTGGTTACTTTCTAACTTCTATTTCTCTTATTTCTACTTTATGAGATCATATAGAGCAATCCAATCCTTTTTAAATTTTTAAAATTTATTTTAATTAAAAAAACTTCACCTGATGACATATTTTTATTGATTTTAGGGAGTAGAGGAGGTGGGTTGGGGGGATAAACATTGGTGTGAGCGAGAAACTTGATGCCTCCTGTATTCGCCCTGACCTAGTGTCCTGACTGGGAAATTGAACCCGCATCCTTTTGGTGCATAGGATCAACTGAGCCACCTGGCCAGGACTCCAGACCTTTTGTAGAACATGGCTGTTTCAACTCTTTAGATACACACACAGATTTCTTACCAGCATAGACTATATTCTCTCTCTGTCCCCGGCCACCATCACAGTGTCTACAGAAATAGGTTTGAAATTCATGTGTGTTGAATGACTGAATGAAGGTAGCCATCATTTTCCTCTGGAGGCATGGTTTTGTCCTCTTTATAAATGTCTGTTGCCTCCTGTCTTTCTTTTTATGGAATAGTGTGCAGACTTGTATGCATCCTGATCTGTTCTGAATATGTGCCAGGAAGGTTAAGATACTTTGAAGGGCACCCAGTATCCCAGTTGTAGTCTGAGCAGCCCAGAGTTGAGCAGAACTCCTGCCTCCCATGTTTGAGATACTGCTCTACTGCTGTAACATGCATCACATTAGCATTTCTGATATGTCCACATCATATTGAGCTTGTTGCTGTCAGATTGAACTAAGCTTCTGGTCAACTAAAGCCATTGTTTATTTGTTTCACGTATGTGGCAATTAAGTCGCAGTGCTTGCCCATTTCACAGTTATATGTACAGGTTTGGACACAGGTATTAATTGAGCCCTTAGATATTTTTCCCTGTTAGGTTTCATTTTATTAGAATAAGCCCATATTTTCTGGCTTATCAATGTCTTTTTAGATCCCAGCTCTTTCATAATATATACCACAAGCCCCTTAGTTTCATGTCAGCTGCACATTGGATGCCAACAGTAGCATTGTAGTATAGTAACCTTCTCATTCAAGTTATTGATAAAATTGTGAACAGGAGAAGCACAGATTGACTCCTGAAGCTTTCCGGTAGAACTGCCCATCAGGTGGATAGCAGTTCATTAATGAGCACTCCTTATGGTCGTTCAAACAATTACCTAGCTACATAATTGTACTGTTGGCTATCTTATGTTTATCTTACCATATGGGTACATTGAGAACCTGGTCAAGTACCTTCATGAAATCCTGCCTATACACTATTTTTGCTGCTTTATGAGGCATGATCTGTGTATAAACACTCTTTTTTTAAAAAATGAAATTAGATTAGTATAACTCAGGTTGGTTCCATAAATGCTTACCACTTTCTTTTCTAAGTGATTGGAAGCCATTTTTTTCAGTAAGTAATCTGAATTTAGAAAAAGACTGATGTCAAGTGTACTGGATTATTATTGACAGTTCTTCCCATTTAAAAAAATCAGACCTACATGTATTTGCTCTTTTTCCAGTCTTTTGGCAACCCTCCGAGTCTCCATGCTCTTTTCACTGGTTTGATTCAGCAGTCTCATTCCCAGTGCACTTTATTTCATTCAGAGCATCAAGGTGCCACATCTCAGTCTCCACACCTGTACTGGACATCAGTTTTTTCTGTTCCCCCCTTTTTTAGGCCAATATCACTTTTTCTTGAAAAAAAGCAGAGTTAACATATTTGAGAAGTTCTATTTTCTTTTTGGCCTTCATAAATGTTACATCAGTCCTAAGCACAATTTCTTTAATTCTGTTGAACATGTATTGAGCACCTTCTTCTTGTGAGACATTATTACGGACACTAGGAATACAAATACAAATACAACTGGATCCTACCCTTTAAGTAGAATATAAGGGCATGATTCATGCCATATTTATTTTGTATTCCTTTAAAACTACAAATGATGAGGGTGAGAAAACTATCAGCTTATTCACCAAATCGGAAAATGCTAAAATGAGATTACCTTGATGCTTAGGAAATTCAGAACAAATAAAGGAAGTTCAGTTTTATATGGTTGATGTTGAACTTGTGAAATTCATAACCTTATGAAATAGAAAAGGCTGAAAATATATACAAGTTCATAAAACACGTAAAACATGTATATATTCATAGATTCAGTGCTTGATGTATTATTAACGGAAATAATTAGTGTATTTGGGTAATGACAGATTTTGAGGACCATGTCTGGGAGGGGAACTGTAACATGCTTTGTTAGTGTCACTGTCAAAGATAAATTACTGGGCTGAATAAAGTACAGCCCTGAATCTGTAACTTTATTTTTCCCCAGTAAGGAGTGATATTGGTTTGAGTTAATGAGGGCAGGATTCCAAGAGGAGTTTTGAGAGAGAGAAAAACATAGCTTGGTCAACGAAGAGGGGATGGTAACGAGTAAGTCATGTGCAGATATTGTAAAGTATATTTTTGTGGCTGGAGTAGATACAATATTTAGAAAGAATAAGAAATTAGATGGTTGAAATGTTTATTGAGGGATAAACAAGAAAGGTGGGAAGTCTGGAATTTTATTTGGTAGAGACCTTGATACCATAGTGATAACACGGACAGCAGGGGAATGAAATGAGCAAGGGAGACTATTTTGGTATTAAAGTAAAAAATAGATAGAAATTTATGCAACAAGATCCATGTAATAGAAATTGGAATAGATTACATTTGGAGGGTGAGGAAGAGGTTGGCTATGAAGGATAACTTCCTGACTTGTTGAATTCTACCTTGTGCAACTTGGATGGGTGGCAGTGCTATTTATGCACTAACCACAACCAGGTACTGGAGAAGGACTAACTTTGCTTGGTCATGGGTTACGAATCCAATTTTGGATCATGAACTCAGGAAGACCATGAATCTAGTTCTGGGTCTACTGACTTTAACTTGCCTTGTTATCATATGGCAATATCAAGAGGCAGTTAGTTAGCTCTGGTGATCTAGAACTCAGAGGCAAGGTCTGTGTCAGAGATAACATGGAGGTCATTTACTTATTTATAGATTTTCGCTTTAGCCATGATGAAGCATGAGATCCATCAAGGGAGAGACTATAAGAAATGAAGAAAATACTTAGGCTTTCCCTTTACAGCACTAACATTTAGAGTCTGGGTATAGGAGGATGAGCTGGCAGTAGAGTCTAAGAAGAGATGGCCAGAGAAGAAAAATCTGAAAGTGTTATATTGTAGAAGCCAAGGGAAATGAATATTTTAAGAAAGAGTATGAAGATGAAATCCATTTCAGCAAGTTATTTATTTCTTAGAAATGAGTGGGATATACAAAGGTGATTTTATTACTAAAAAAAGAGTGTGAAAGGTTTAGTCCTGCAACACTAACTTCAGGAATATACTTAATTGCAGTAGTAGTCAAATCTTTTAAGACAGTGAGTTTTTCAAGATGGGAAGAGGAGAATGGAATGCCAGGAGCTGAGCATAAGG